GCAAAAGTTGTGACTGAATCCCCGTGTCCCCGAGAGGAAGACTAAGTGCGTGTGACAGACCTTCTGCCATCAAAATGCCCCATTTCCCAGACTATCTGTCACGGAACGAAAATACCCATGCAAAGAGTTAAGTACAATTATGTCTGTCACTGAGAAACATACTCTGGAAACTGACTGACAACTTTTTGGGAGTTGACAAATCACTGGGAGATCCTCAAACACCTCTAAGCAGCAAGCACCAGGCCACAGAGAGGCAAGCTCGGCTGACTGACACCAGGGAATGGCTCCTAGCAGCTGCACCTTGAGGGGACAATGCTGTGATCCACTGCTGGAAAGTGTGTGTGTGTGTGTGTGTGTGTGTGTTAGTGTGTGTGTCTGTGTGTGTCTCTGTGTGTGTGTGTGCTAGAGTGTGTGTGTGTGGGGGGGTTACTCTGTGGCTTTTGGTGGGGCAGTAGGAGGGTGTCCATGAAGGACAGGAAGGTCTGATAGGGCTTCTCCTCAGGACCACGGTGTACAAACAATAACTCATACTCCAGGCCGGTGTGTGGGGCAGAGCACAGCTGCTGTGTGCATGTTCCAGCTTCTAGGCATCCCCCATTCAAGGTCTACACTGAAATGAACTGTATTAGCATGTCCAGCACACTGGGGTCCTAGCCACTTATTTCAGATGGATGCTGGAGGGAGTCACACAGGAACTGTTTGCTTAAACACAGCAATGCTGGGTTGAGACATACTGTCAGCACCACCGATGCCCGGCATTCTGCAAGGCCTGTCTGTACCCGTCCCAGGGATATGGCAGCTTTCCTCCCACTGGAGCCTCTGTCACTGCCACCAGCAGTGCCTGTGGAATCTGGAGCAGGCTTCAGTGGCCAACATCCACTCTGAGCCATCCCAACATGCCCCTAACAAAGGCTACCCCTCCCGGGCCCCCTCCCCAGGCAAGGTGTCTGTTGAACCTGGATTTCTAAGGAAGGAGTACTGTGGTTGGTTTTACCAGCTTGACACAATCTAGAAACACCTGTAAGGAAGTCTCAGCGAAGAACTGCCTAAACCAGGTTGGCCTGTGGGCGTGTTAACTGATGTTTGAACCCCAGCCCAGTGTGGGTGGCACCATTCCCTAGGCAGGGATCCTGAACTGTATGACAGTGAATAAAGCAAGTCGAGCACAAGCACGAGGCGTCCGTAGCTCTCAGTTCCTGGCTATGGCTGAGCTCCTGGGTTCTGGCTTCCCACTATGATGGACTGCAGCCTGGAAAAACAGCTGAAAGAAATCCTTCCTCCCTAAGCTGCACTTGCCAGTGTATTCATCACAGCAAGTGGGAACTAAGGTAGGCAGGGAAGGAGGGAGATGAGCACTTCTGACTAAGGTGTGACTCGCCCCTCCCTTCTGCTACTGTGGACAATGCACCCTGGATAGCAATGCTGAGAGGAAAGGCTTGGGTCTCAATGCCAAGTGTTCACGGCCAGCCAGCTCTGTTACTCTGCGGTGCAGGGAAGCATGTAACTGAGCTGAACTTCTCACCTCAAGGTGTCCAGAAAGCAGAGGGGGGGGGGCGGGGGGGCGTGACTCACTTCCTCCTATAGAGTCTCACCTTTCCAGTGTCTACCATTTCCCAATTATCTGTTCAAGTACAAATCCATCAGTAGATTAGTTACTTATACACACACACACACACACACACACACACACACACACACACTCTGCCTCTGGGTCGGGTCTTCTGGCCTGTGCTGTGGACCATGTGACCTTTGGGAGGTCCTTCTTCGCACCCACTGCCTGTTCCCACAGGTGCAGCGACTGTGGAGTTATACAGGCCTGACCCTATCTTTGGGCACACCTGCTCTCCTTGGCGACTGTGACATCTGTGGGCTTGATAAGCATGACTCTGACATCTTTATCAAGCTTCTGATTCCACTGCTCAGCAAACTGACCCAGGCAACACACTCTCCACCATGGATCCCTGGAGCTTCTCAAATCTTGGTCTGGGCAGCCACAGAGCTCACCTTCCCCACAGTCACACAGACCCCATGCGCGAGAGGCGTGGGTGCTTTGTCTGAAGGTGAGTTCACTATTGGCATCTGTGCTCCCAGGTGTCAGCCCAGAGCAGAACACGAAGCATCCCTGCTCACTGCCCGGAGGGAGATGCAAGGCTCCAGGTCCTGGACAAAGTGGCTTGCCCTAGAGACCTAAGCAGAAGTTTGCGGATGAAACCAGGCTCACTGTACAGAGGGTGAATTCTGCCAAGCCATTTTATGCTGCTTTTGACACAATTTCCACTGCATTCAACGATCAATTAGTTGGACATCGCCAACCAGAATGTTAGTTACCGTGAGAGCTCCATTCCGGAAGGCAGGGAGGAGGCTCTGGATCGAGTCTCATCAAGAACGCCCTGCAGCAGTGGAAAGGCGCAGGCTCAAAAGAGAAAGCAAGCCACGCGGCTGCGACGAGGAAGGTGACGGCCGTCACCTGTGAAAAGGTCAGCAAATGCCCCTTTTGTCTGAGGTAAAGCTGGAAATGACAGCTCTCCGAAAAGCGGCCGGGAAGGCTTTAAACCCCAGTGTTGGCAGAGCTCATGTTCTTGGCTAGAGATTTCCAGGCTCAGGAGACAGCTTGTCTGCCACCCACTCCATCTCCCTCTGGCTCGTGGCTCCCTCCCAGCATGCTTCCTGCCACCTTCTAGGTGGCCAGTAGAGGGCACCCCCCACCACACTCCTGGCAGCCATGCTTTGGTGCCTGAATCAGGTGTCCCCACACAAAGACCAGGGAAGTACCTGGTATTTACGATTTTCCGCTCCATGGGAAAATCATGAGCGTGCTATATATGCGATGATGTCACCTACATAACAGTACACAGGGGAAGGAGCTCAAAGGAAATGTACCAAAAGGTTATGAGAATTTGCTCACTGAAAACAGGTTTTGTTTTTCCATTATTTTCTATTATTTTGCCAATTTCCCACAAACATTTATTGTTCTCGTGATTGAAAAACTCTGCAGTGCTCACGGATAGGGAGTCACCGGGAGGTGTAGCCACACGAGGTCCTCCCTGTTAGAGAAGCATGTGCAGTGACCGTGACAGTGGGGGACTGCTCACCCAGTGTGACTTCAGCACAGGCAGCCCAGAGGGGTACAAGACACAGGGAGGCACTGTCCTGTGACCACATGAGGAGGGAACAGGAAAGGAGCCTGGAGCTGGACAGGGCGACTGAAAGTCACAGGGGCGGGGGTGGGGATGCAGCCTATGGGGAGCTGAGTCTTCAGTTACTGTGAAGCTGTCACTCCTTACAGAGACCCAGCATCTGGAGGAGCAAATTAGCATGCCCAACCCTTCCTGTCTTCAATAGAAAATTGAAGTAACTAGAAATTCTTTTCAAAAAACAAAACAAAACAAAGATGCTGGATAGGAAAGAATAAAATCCCCAAGTCAATTCATGAAAGATAAAACACCAAACCCAAATGACTTAAGAGGCTCACACAGGCACGCACACTGCCTGTAAATCAACACCCAGGCAGAGAGGAGAGCTGAGAGAAACACAGCAGCATTTGCATACAGGAGGAGATCCTCCTGAAGGCTGGCTCACTTAACTCAGCCAAATTAGAATACATTTTATATTGACTATTTTGACATTTGTTTTATTTGGCAAGTAAAACAGAACTGATCCAATTTCCTTGCAGCCATTGTAAACCATAAACTGTGCACCAAGGTCATAAAACATATAAGCCTTAGAAGCACTGCGTTGGGTTATGCCACCCTGCAACTCCACCAGCTCCTAGAGCCGCCTGCTGTGGTGTAGGTAACCTGGTTCTCTTGTGACAGGCAAGCTCAGAAAAGCCTTGTTTCTTCTGGGACAGTAGGGACCCTGTACAGTACGTTTTTTGTCAACTCAACACAAACTAGGATCATTAGGAAAGAAGGAACCTCCACTGAGAAAATGCCTCCATCAGATTGGCCTGTATGCAAGTCTGTGTGGGCATTTTCTTGATTCATCAGTTTCTGCGCTGTCTTTCCCGCAATGATGGACTGCGGCAGGAACGTATACGCCAAGTAAGCAGTCTTCTCCAGGTTGCTTTTGGTCAGTGTTTTGTTTTGTTTTTCCCACACTAAACAGGAAACAAATTAGAGTGGCTTCATTCCATGCAACAGGAATTAGCAACTGCCTGAGGTAATGCCCATTTCTGGGTCCTTCCAGACCACATGTATCTTTAGGGACTGGCTCTATTTATTCAAGGCAATTGAGTCCCAAGGGCTTTGCGTCCTCTGCAGTTAACCCAAACCTGAGCTGACCATGAGCACCAGAAACTAATCTAAGTTGACCTCATGAGCACAGGTGATGACCTGAAATGATGTTGGCAGAATGAATTATTATGACAATGAATATACCCTCCCCAAAACTTGCCACTTTCTAAAGACTTCTAGTTCGTAGCCCCTAGAAAGAACAAACGTCACGGGCAGCTGACTAGTCCTGCAGGGTTTCCGATGAGTGGCTGGCAGAGCTGAGAGAGAATTCTGCCCTCTGGAAACCAGGGCCCTGGTCACCTGGCTGACACACAAACCAGTGTGTCTCTAAGTTTACTCGAATGGCAAGACAGTTTTTGTGTTTTTGTTTTATTTGGTTTGGTTTTTGAGACAGGGTCTCAATATGTAGCCTTGGCTGGTCTTGCTATGTAGACCAGGCTGGCCTCGAACTCACAACCAGTCTGCCTCTGCTCTCTTCCTCTGAATGCTGGGATTAAGGGTGAGAGACACAACACCTGGTTTGGCCAACCAAGTATGAGCCACACCTCCTGCTGTGTTGGTAACCTGTAGTGTGCCCATGATATAGAATATCGATAGGCCTTTCCACACGTGGAACATTCAGGTTTCTGACCGGGACTTCCTAAGGCCCAAGTCCAGTCTTCTGCAAATCTTCAGCAAATGTTAAGCGGGTGTTATCTAAACTGTTGGCTTGGCAGGACCTAAGGCCATGGAGGTGCACGTGTGAGACCCTCAACAAAGCCTCACCTGGGAAGGTTTGGGGCTGGGGTGGAAGCGGCTGACGACTGTGAAGGCGTGGTGGGTTGAGATGAGTCGTGGTTTCTTGGCACTCTGCCCATGCGATACCAGATACCCATGCTGTTCAGTTCCCTGGAGGAGAAAAGGAAAGCCTTCAAGGTGCTGTTATGCTTGGAGCACTGACCTGAGCCACAGAGCCAACTCTACCTCACTAGGAGTGATCTCAAACCCCAGGGAGGCCACTCTCACCATGTAAGCCAGGCCCCACCATCTCCCTTCATGCCTTGGGTACCACAGCCAGAGCCTAGCATGACTGCAGCGGAGCCATCAGACAAGCTTGTGATGTGGCCGTCTTTACCTGAGCATCCTGCCTGACCTGCTGGCATGTCTGCACTCTTTGTTTTCCCATCCCACTGGTCTCAAGCACTCTATGTGGTTAGGGTGAGGCAGTTGGGGAAGGGCCTGGCAGACACAGGCCTGATTTCTAAGCATGAGAAGGATTCTTCAAATCCACACAATACTTCCAAATGTCAGGATTTGGCCCCTCAATGCAGGGGGTCATTGTGTGTGGCCTCACTCCAAGGTCAGTTGGGAAGATGGCTTCAAATCCTCAAACCGGAGGCTCACAGCCCACAAAACAGGTACAACCAAGAGTAGATGCACACATTCTGTGGTGTTGACATCAACAGTGGCCGTGCCCCACACTGCACACCTGTGAAGCGAATGAGGCAAGCTCACCCTTGGCAATGAGACGGAATGATTTCTGCCACATGCAAGTCCTCTCTGCTGCCCCCAAACGGTGTCTGTGGGACTAGAAGCCAAGGGGCAGCATCTCTTCCAAAAATAAAAGACATTTATCCTGTGGGTCTTGGGTGTAGCCTGGGGGCTATTCTAAACCAGACCTTGCCTTATCCAAAGAGCGAGCCCAGCTGCAGTACCACCAAGTCCATCCATCTCTACCCGGCTGCAGGCTGCCCCTGCTACAGCCTGCCTGATTCAGTGGAGGCTGTGTCTTTCCCAGTCTGAGCTTTCTGCCTCTCGGAGCACAAGTTCAGGCCCTTGTCATGTGGCACTTTGGTACTGAATCCTCAATTCACTTCTCTTCTTAAAATCATGCTATGTCTTCCAGGAGAGTATGTTATCGTCCAAGACGAAATAAAAATTGTACCTCGACAATTTAAAAAATTATACCAGGAAGATGATTCTAGTTTTGTGTATCAAGATAAGTACTTATTTTAAAAAATCCATTCTTCAGAATTGTTTAAAACAGTTAAAATTGCATCTCTTAAAAATAGTATTGTAGGCAGCTGGAGAGATGGCTCAGTGGTTAAGAGCACCGGCTGTTCTCCCAGAGGACCTAGGTTCAATTCCCAGCACCCATATGACAGCTCACAACTGTCTTAAAACTCCAGTTCCAGAGAATCTGATATCTTCACACCAATGCACATAAAATAAAGTTAAATAGATTATTAAAAAAGAGTGTTGTGATGAGAGATGCAAACAACAGATGCAGTACACTTTAACAGTGCAGTGGTTGGCTGTGCTGTGTGTGCTGCGTGTGTAAATGGGAGTGTGTGGGTGATGTGTGATTGTTCTATAACTGCTTCCAAACCCTGTAACCTTCTTGCACAGTTAGTTTAACTCAGGATGCAAAACAGGATTTGCAGGCATGGGAGCTTTTCCTTTATTTGTTCATTTTTGGTGCAGGGGATGGAGTTGAGTTTTGCGTACCCCAAGCATGGGCTCTACCACTAATGCCCAGACCAAACCCATCTTGAAGTACATGAATCCACAGTGGAAGAGGTTAAAGCAACCTCAGCTACAAGAACCTAGTCTCAACCCCTTGAGTGCAATAAACATCCATTTTCTTCAGTTCATCCAGCCCCGCCCCAGCCCCATCTACCCGACTTTTTACCTCCTGCACATTTTGACGGCTATCCTACTTCACTGTTCTTCCTTAAGCTCTGCTGAAGCAGTCTGTCCTTCTAGCTCAGGCGGGTCAATGAGGGAATGACCTTTCCCAGATGACAGTGCCCAGGTAGGGGTGCACCTGATGGTGGACAGATGGATCAAGCCCAAGGACACTGAACTCAGAAAGGCAGACCTGCTCCTGAAGGGCAGCTGGCCAAAGGGCAGCAGTGCCATGTCTCCACAGAGGAACAGGTGTCAGGTGGGGTCCCACAAGAGGTCTGAGAGGGCAGGAAATGAGGTGTTCTCATCCTCTGAGTTCCTACTTCTGCCTGCCGAAGCCTGGTAGTAATGCCAGCCAAAAAATGTTCCCTCTTGTTTATGTCACTCTGGGTGGGACTTCCTGTCACTCAGGTGCATGGGGGCCCAAAGTGAAGTGCTGGGATTTGCCTGCACTTGGAGTTTACAGTGCAGCTTTGGAGCCAGGCCCCGCTCATTCTGAGGCTGCAGGTGACCAGGACCTGTGTGCCCACAGGTGGACCCCTGTCCCCAGGACGTGCCACACTCACTCCCACTCTGCTCATCACCTGCCTTCCCTTCACAGCTGGTTCTCCTATCTCTGAGGTCTTTGCTTAGTAGCCCGCCTCCTGTCGTAACTGGCACAGCCCCAGCTCACACCCAGTTACATCCCCCACGGTCTGAGACGACCTTGTCTATTTCCATGCTAACTGCTCATCTCTCTCTTCAGAACAGCCTCTCTGTGAGGGCAGGACCTTTGTCATTCTCTCCCACACACAGGATCTGTCCAGTGGCACGAAAACGTTAGCCATAAAATGCCGCACACTGATAAGCGTGTGAGGAGGTGAGGCCCACAGCGGCGCTGACAGCAGCATGCAGAGTGGCCTGAAAGGTGACTGTACCGGAAACAGAAGGCTCTAAGGTGGAACTACACTATTAGCTGAGATAGACTGAGGTCAGAGTCAGTGATGAGCACCAACTCTGAGAGCCATGGATTATGGCTGAGCCTTGTGAGCCACACAGACTTCTCAGTCTTGGTCCCAGGAGTGGCCCAGGCACTCCCAGGGGAGGGAGATCTGGGTGGAAATACTGTTGAGACTTACCCAATAAATGTGTACTGGGGAGGGGCCTGCTTGGTCCGGCCCATGATGCGAATGTCACAAATGGCAGCTTCAGTTGAATCCCGGGGAATAAACTTAATGCATAGCCTCTTCTTCCTGAAGGCCACCTCCTCTAAGGAAAGGACAACAGAAAGGTGTGAGTCTGATAGAGATGCCACCTCCTCTCCGCTTTGGGAAGCAGAAGGGATGGGTCATCCTTGTCCTGGAAGAAGGGCTAAGCTCCAACCCTGCAGGCGATGACAACAGAGTATACCAGTCACCCTGCCCTGTGTGCAGGGCTGACCCCAGACACGCTGGCCAGGGAAGAGTGTCCAGATCTGCTGCCATGGTCCCACAGCCGCAGCCCGTGGATACCCCCCGCCACAGCAAGGCTCCCCCTTTTTTCACTTTCTACTACAGAAATCTTCAAGTACACCCCAAGGGGTGCGAGCTGCAGGGCAGAGCTGCCTGCTCCTGCTCAGCACACTCCTCTAATTTTCTGTCTGGATATATGGAGCAAACCCCCAACACTAGGTCATATTGCCCAGCCCCACCCGGGAAGGCATGGCTGTCATGTCCCTGCCATTTCCACCCAAAACAAAGAAACTCCTGAACTCATAGTCTGAATTCCAGTTTCTTCACCACGACACAATGCCCTGCCCTGCCCTGCCTCACTCCACATCTGAGGCCGTGCTCTGCAGTGGGCTGGCAGGTCCCTTGGGTCCCTTGGGTCCCTTTTACTCTGTAACCACCCCTCCCTGCTCCTTGGTGCTCTGTGACAGAGAGGCAGGAAAAACAAAACAAAGCAGTTGTTTTGCCTCCGTCCAGCAGCACATTAGAGCTGGCTGGCTTTGGTCCAGGTTCAGACCTTTCTAGAAGGCAGTCCATGTGTGAGCTCCCAGGACCACTGTGTCCCACAGCGCTGGCCTAAGACCTGGATCACAACACTCCCGTGCACGGCCCTGGCTGTGGTTTTTCAGGGTGCTTGTAGCTAAGAGCCACACCTTGGTTCTGGGTTTCAAAACAGCAATTCTCCAGAGTGTGCCATTCCTTCTGCACTGATGAGCTCAAGTTCCATCTAAAGCCTAACTCCTCTTCCCCAGCCTTTGTCATCTAAGGCAGACTGTGAGCAGGGGTGAGAGCCAGTGTGGCTCTCTTCTGTCACTTGTCCAGCCTGCTCGCAGTGTGCTGGGCTCTAGCAATGGACGGCGCTGCCCACTGAGGTAGCACTGCGGCTTATCTGCAGTTCTGAACGTTTCCCAACAGTACATGAGTCTTCCAGTTGGATTTGTGTTTTTTTTTTAATTTTTAAGACATTTTTTAAAATTAAAATATAATTATATCATTTTCCCCTTTCCTTTTCCTCCCTCTAGTCCTCTCATACACATCCCGTCTCTCTCTTAAATTCATGACCCCTGACATTATTAATTGTTGCTGTATATATTCCTAAATATATAGCTACGACCTGTTAGTCTGTATGTTTTCTGTGCACGATTTCAGGGCCCACCATTTGGAGATGCCCTCTCTGGGGAAGACTATTTTTTCCACTCTGAGCACCCAGTTGCCTGTAGTGGGTTTTGTTTGTGACAGGGTCTCATTATGTACCCTAGTAGATCAGTCTCAGACTTGTAATCCTCCTGCCTCAGTCTCATATCTGGCTCCATCAGTAGGATCTGGGTTGGAATCCCAGACCTGCCATTGCTGGCACTGGTACCTCAGAAGTCACTTAAACCCTGAGCCTCAGTTCTGTCATCTGTAAAAGGGACCTGGTGGAAGCCCACTCAGGCGGCATGTGGGTAGATGTTGTGTGGTAACATGATTTCTTGGCCAGTTCTAGGCACATGATAAGTGTTCAATAAAGAACAGCTAGGAGCGATGGCAAGGCAGCCCAGTGTGCATTTAACATCTGAGCTTGGGACTGACCCTCAGGTTGTAGAATCTGTAACCATTTAGACACGGTCCTGCCGCAGGTAGAGAGGGGAACAGCGGTTCTGCAGGCCTGGTAGAATCAGCAGTACTGTTTGGTCTTTGTTATGTTTTGGGGAAATGTGGCTATCTTTTTTAAAAAGCCAGGTTGAGTCAGGCAGTTGTGGCTTTCAGACCTTCCCTGCGGTAAACGGTACTCTGCTAGCCTTTGCCACAGCTCGGCTCCAGTCTCCATCTGCAGCCAGCTAAGTCAAGGACGGATCCACTCACTCATTACACATGCGTAAGCAGGCCTCATTTTAAGTAAACATATTATACATAGTCAATAGAAATGTGTTCAGTCATGCTAATGAACACAGGGAGAGTACACAGCACTTTACTAAAGCAAACAGTCTTCCGGTGTTTAAGTGCTGTATGGACTGCAACAGGCTATATTTTAAATTAATTACAGGAGTCTCATCTTTTTGGCTGACTTCATAAAATCAAGGCTTTAAGTACTCTCAGGAGATAATTGGGCTGACCATGAGGTTCTTTGTCCCCAGGAAGTCTTTGAGAAATGGTCCCATGACCACAGGTGTGCTTAGACACCTGACGGAGAGCACAGGACCCTCCAGAGAACAGAAGATGCAAACATGGGGACTGAACTCCTAGTCAGAACCAATGGACCCCCCACAGTCACAGCACATGCCCGCAACAGGGTCTCCTCACTGCATGAGCTCAACAAACCGGAAATGCAGATTGGGAAATCCCTGTGGCTATGCAGCTAATACATCAATTAGCTGTCAAAATTAACATCAAAAAAATGTTTAAGACTTTGAAAACCTTAGAAAGAAAACAGAGCAGGAATGAATACAAACCAACAAGGTCATTTTATTTTGTAAGCAGAGAATTCACCTAAGAAGAGGCAAAGTTAGCAAACATTTACAAAAGCACCCAGGCTTGCTAATAAATAGCGAACTACAAATTTAAACAGTGAAACAAAGAGAAGGGCTGCACTGGTGGGCCTGGAGAAACGAAGCCTTTGCTGCTGCCGACACTGAGATACCCTCATGGAGGTCATACAGTTGGCAAGTCCAACTAGAAAGAGATCTGTATGCTCCAACAATATTACAAGGCAGAGAGTACCCTCTTGGCCTGACAAATGGGTAAACTGAGCCAGGAGTCTAAGAGGACCTGCTTGGGGTTCCACAAGCACAAGCAGCAGGCCAGATGGAACATGAGGACACCGCAGAGACTAGAGTCCCAACAGAGGACGCAGAGGGGACAGGGCTGTTCCTGCAGTTTCCTGCTTGGTCTCTGGATTCAGGTCCTCTTGTCTGTGCAGCAAGCACTTTCTTTATCCACTGGGTCATTTCCCAAGTTTGACATGACTATGTGTAGGAACTACCAGAAACAGGCAGAGCTATGCAGAAAGCACCAGCTGGTGGGGGCAGGGAGGCGAGGGCTGGAAATCAATGTCTCCATGACATCGGTGCCTGCTTTTAGGACAGCTGCGGTGACAAAAAGACTATAATGGCGGGTACACGAGTGTGAATATTCCAAGAAGCACTAGATTGTGCTCTTTAAATGGGTGAATTACATGGTATTTAAATTGTATCTTAAGCCATTATAAAAAAAAATTTCCTGGGCTGGAGAGATGGCTCAGAGGTTAAGAGCATTGTCTGCTCTTCCAAAGGTCCTGAGTTCAATTCCCAGCAACTACATGGTGGCTCACAACCATCTGTAATGGGATCTGGTGCCCTCTTCTGGCCTGCAGGCATACACACAGACAGAATATTGTATACATAATAAATTTAAAAAAAAATTCCTGATACTTAGAAAATCTGTATGTACAAGATGCTTAGTACATGTGTGTGTACATGTGTTTGTCCATGCAGCATGTGTGTATGTGCATCTGCATGTGTATGTATGTATGTGTGTGCATGTGTATCTATGCGCATATGTGTGCATGCATGTGCATTTGTATATGCATGCGCATATGCACGTTATAGGCATGCATTTACGTGTATTGCGTGCATGTTAGCATGCATGTATCCATGTGTATTTATGCATGTGTATGTTTGCATGTGTATATGTACATGCATGCATATGTATGTGTGTGTTTGTATGTGGGTGTGTTCTTGCACTTGGCTAAGATGCAGTCACTGCGCCTTTCTTTTCTCATATGCAAAACAGGCCTAACATCCATCTCTACAGAGGTCTCGTAAAGATAAAATGACATCATGAGAGTGAAGCATTCATCATGGGGCCTTACATGAAACATAGCAAATACGTGTCCTAAATCATTATGTTCCTGTGATAAAATGCCTGACCAAAGGCAACCTGTGGAAGAGTGGGTTTATTTGGCTTACACTCAGGCTATCACTGAGGGGAAGCCAAGGCAGGAACTCTAAGTCATGTTACATCCCGTCGAGAGCAGAGAAACAAGCTTCCTCCAAGTTTACAGTCAGCTGCCCCCCTGCACCCTCACACAGCCCAGGACCTCCTGCCCAGCGAAGGGTGCCACCCACAGTGGGCTGGGTCAGTTAACAATCATGACAACCCCACTGCAAGCATGCCCAGAGCTCACTCTGATCCAGGCTTCTCAGGTGATTCGAGGCTGTGTCAAAGTGGCAGCTAAAAGCGACCGGCATCAGGACATTCGCTAGGACGTCAGTGCAAACGTGAAAGCAGTCAGAGAGGGATCAACTGCTTCATTGAAGTAAGTTCCACTGGGGTGGGAGGGGACATGGATGCTGTTCAGTTTGAAATGTGAACAAGAAAATGGCAAGGAAATAATGGTTCAGAAATGTTTGCACCAAGGAAATATTGAAACACACACACATAATATAATATAAATAAAAACAAGGAACAGGGTACAGAATTCCATAAAGGAATTTCACAGGTAAAGGGATCTCTGTTCTCTTATTCACAGCCTCACTGCTGTGGAGTGGGCTCATGAGTAATTGCAAACAAAGCGAGTTCATATATACACCAAAGTAAAGAAGTCCCCTGACAGTATCTTCCAGCCCTGCTATTACAACCAGCACCCCAAGACCCTGGCCCTGCACAGCAGGATCCTGAGGCAGCTTTTTCATTTCCCACAGTTCTCTGCCGTTGCACTCATATCAGTGCAGTGTTGCTCAGTTCAGAGATCAGTACATCTGGCCTATTCAAATCTTGTTTTTATTTGTTTTAAGATTTTGTTGCTGTTTTGTAGTAGACAGGGTTTCATGTAGCTCAGACTGGCCTCACGCTCTTGTTAGTAGTGAAGGATGACCTTGAATCCTAGATCTTCTTGTCCCCACGTCCCAAGTATGCGACTACAGCTATGAGCCAACACACCTGGCTCCAATTTGATCCTGCATGCTCTAACTTACAGTCTTTCTGGTTCAGGCCTCTTGCGCACTCTGTGAGCCCTACACCAGCACAGAGCTGTTTCGTGCAGCACCCAAGCATCCTTTGATCTCTGCCCTTCCTTCCTTTTGCTCTGGGGTCTTGTGCCAAGCTTGGCTTCAGCAACAGCTGAGGACAGACCAAAGACCAACTATATCCCAAGCAGCAGGGGGCATCATTCTAAGAAAAGTGCCTCTGCTCACGGGCAGGCAGGATTCCACATACTCTCCAGAAACAGAGAACCAAGGTGGATGTCACAAGTGACAGGCTTTCTTCACCATCCACAGGAAACCCCCTCAGCTGTTTCCAGAGAAAACCACACAGGAAGTATTTAAGAGTCCACCTGGAAGAGAAGGAGACTGCCCCCCGGCCTGTACGCTAAGGGCTGACTCACGTGTGTCCACTGTCTCCTGGATAGGGATGAAGCCCACAGGCAATGTGTCCTTGACATCGATGAGCTTCATGTCCACCAGCACGTTCCCCAAGTGACTCTTGGGAAGAAGAAGACACACAGATTATTAATTGGAACACTAAGTCTGCTTGCAGTCCTGGCTTCAGGATGTGTATTTGATACAGTGACTGCTGCAGCTTTACCATAGCACGTTAGTTAACAAACATACCTAGTGTTCCCCAGCATGTTACCTCAGGAAGAGGTACCATGTAGACAGACCCTAGCAGAGGGCAGGTGGGCATGTGACCTGGACCCCACCACCTCTCAGGGTCAGCGGGTTTTAAGAGAGGAAGTTCTGGGATGCTTGTAGGAGTTGCACCTGAACTCAAGAGGGACTGATCATACACCTAAGGGATTGTTGGTTGCAGACAGTTTTCAGTAACAAGATGCATTTTAAAAAATCCCAAGAATCATAAACTAACAGAATGGCAGCCCTGCCACCTCCGTATCCCACGCCTTCTGAAATGACTTGCTAGGGGGGCTCTTAAGAGTTCCTATTTAGTGGTGGCAGAGGGGTCCACAGTGCACAGTTTCCGTAAAGACATCTTTTGAAGATAGTAGGTGGAGCACCATTCTATAATTGCAAGAGAGAATTCTCTGCGAACAAGCCAGCACTTGCAGCCTCCACTTCATGCTAGAAACGGCTCTCAAGAAATCAACGCTACGCAGGGCTGCTGTGGAGAGTATATTCACGTCTTCAGCGTCATGGCAGCTTCATCAGAGCCAGTTAAGGCAAGAAAAATGGGTTTCCAGCCCAAATCTCTCCTGGTAGGATTATGGCAACATGTTCTGTGTGCCCACTCTGCAGAAACACTATCCTCCAAAGCCCCGTTTAAATGCACGCTCGCTTTGCTTGTCTGCAGTCCTGGGAAAACATCTAAGGGGTCAGCCCAGGCTCTGTCTTCACAGGAATCTCTTGGGCCAGTGTCCCCTGTTGTTTAGAGAAAGGACTCAACTTCATCTCTGAGCTTGGAAACACAGACTCCACCTCCATCCTGAGAGCACAGCACCTCTGAAATCCATGCAGGGAATATTTGCCTTCTGAACTAAGACACACTGTCTCCTTAAGCTCCTTTTAACTTCCTATCAGTTTATAATTGGGTTTTGTGGTGGTTTAAATAAGAATGGTCCCCACAGATTCATAGATTTGAATGCTTACTCATCAGGGAGTGGAACTACTTGAAAAGGATTAGGAGGTGTGGCCTTGCTGGAGAAAGTACATTACTAGGGATGGCCTTTGAAGTTTCAAAAGCTCATGCCAGGCCTAGAGTCTCTCTCAGCTAGTGGACCAGATGTAACTCCCAGCTAGTGCTCCAGCACCATTCTTGCCTGTGTGCCGCCAGGCTCCCTGACATGAAAATGGACTGGAGGTAAGCCCCCAGTTAAATGCTTTCGTTTATAAGAGTTGCCTTGATCACAGTGTCTCCTCACAGCAATAGAACAGTGACTAAGACAGACACCATCTACCTACCATCTTCGAAGATGTCATTACGAAAACTGTGCACTGATGGCCCCATCTGCCGCCACTAAATAGGAAACAAAATGATCTCTGCTCCTACTGCTCAACCAAGCTTCTATAGTTCTTGGCACACAGTAGGGACTCAATAATTATTGGCTAAATGTTTGGTTGTTGTGAAATATTTGTTTAACCATGATGCAAAGATGTGTTGTTTCTTTAACTATATAAAGATGTATTGCATTTGCTTAATTCTGTAAAGATGTACTGCTGTGTTACCTTGCCTACCTAAGGTACCTGATTATAATAAAAATCTAATAAAAATATGAACAACCAATAGCAAGAGAGAAGGTATAGGTGGGACTTCCAGGCAGAGGGTAAGTAGGAGGAGGAATTTAGGCTCAGTAAGAAAGAGACGCCATGGAGCTGAGGGGCCAGTCACATACAGACATGGAGGAAGCAGGAAAGTAGGACATACGGAATGAAAGAAAGGTAAGAATCCCCTAGACAAAATGTAGATGAATAGAAAGAGGTCAAATTCAGTTAAAAGAGCTGGTGGAACAAGCCTAAGCTAAGGCTGAGCATTCATAACAGTAAGTCTCTGTGTCTTTATTTGGGAGCTGATTGGCAGCCCAAAGAAAATTCCAACTACATTTGCTGGCACACTTTTCAGCAGGGTGGGTGCTGGTGGTTAAAAAACAAATCAGACTCCCTTGGATGGCAAATGGAAATGGTCACCCAAATTCTGACAGCTTAGTATTGGTTATTATGGAGCAAAGTAAAACGCAAGCCTCAGGCTGGAATCAGAAGTCAGAGTGGCATGTGTAGTCTCTGCCTAGCACTTTCCCTGCCCTCTTCTCTCAGAATCCCTGTTTGCCAACAGCTCCATGCTATTGCAGCTCGGGGGCAAGGGCTCAGAAAGACGTATGCACTGCAGTGCAGTACTGGGGAGCAGGCACTCTTTGATGTGGAGGAGACTTCTGACTACACAGGAAGGCCGGGCTCAGCCTAGAACCTGGGAAGCACCGGCTGCCTTTATTTCCCCCCGGGGCATCTGCTCTTCTAGTCCACCGCTGCTTTCTGCTGAGAAATTAGCAACTGGGCATGCTCTGCTGCCCCATAGATGGCTGGGCATTCATCAGGATTGTGCCTGAATGTTTTCAGCTTGACAAGCTGACTCTGTAGAAGTCAACAGCAAACCACTTAGCCTCGCCCTCCCCACTCTTGAGAAAATGACCTAATCATAAAATCAGAGCATTGGTGGTGTGGCCATTAAAACAAGCATCAGGAATCCCTTCCATGCAAACAAAATGGGAGGCTGCCCTGTTGGAGCCTCCAGCAACCCGAGTGTGGCCCTCTTCCATGGGGCGGCCACTCGGGGATTTTTCCTTCTTCCTTTTTTTATACCACAGGCCTACAACACCATTAATTTTGCTGGTTCCTCTCCCCTCACCCACTTGTGCTCTCTTTCATTTCCTCCTCATAAATATGAAGAGCGCATTCCCAATCCTTGTTGAGCAAATGATTCATACCAGAAGCCCAATATACACTGACTCAGGGTATTTATATTGTCTCTGGTAGCCAGTATTTGCTAGTATACTGTAATTATTTTTGACAACTTTGCATTTAAGGTAGCCACAGATAACCAACTTAATATTCAAATGTTCATAAATCCTTCTGTTTAACATCCTCCCTAACTAATCTATGTACATTATTATTACAGGTAATGCAGAAGGTACAGGGCATGAAAAGTGCAATTAATCTCACTCCTTCCGCAGGAAGCAATGTCACTCTAAAGCCAGGTTTCTATATTAATGGCCTGATTGGGGGAAAGGAATTTAGGATTCCAAGGAAGCTCCCCAAACTCCTATCCTCGGCGTCTCAAGTCACCCAATTAAGACTTGGCCTACTCTGGAGATCCCATCCCCTCCCATATGGTTGTAAAATGGGACTCGGCCAAGCCTGTGTTCTGACTCTAGGCCAGGACAGACAGGCAGCCACCACTGGTTAGCATGTGCCTAGCTCCTGCCTCACTCGAGTCCTGGCCAAATGGGCACAGCCGCTGGCAAAAATTTGATCCCAAAGCAAATTCGATCCCGATTTGATCACTTGGATGTTGTAAAGGAGACTCTTATTTCTTTTTCTTGGTGCTGACGATGGAATTGTTAAGAACTGGACATTATTCATTCTCTTTCCATAAAAAATGGTGCCCCCAGGCTTCAGTACAGGGTGGGGCTTCTCTGGCTGCCCTCCTGGCAGCCTCACACCCCTGTCACCCCAGTACCCAGCTACTGAGGGACAGCAGCTTGTTTTCTGGCAGTGCCAGGGGCTGAACCCAGGGCCCATGCATGCTCTACCTCTATCCCCAAGCCCAAGAATTGTGTTCTCTATAATCCATTTCAAACTAATTTCAGTGCCTTTTCTGAATCATAATGGGCTTGTGGCGGCCCCAATCCCAGGGCTTCAAGAACTCTTCTGCCTAGGAAGAACAAAATCTCATGGATTTCAGGAAGAAATGTAGCAAGCCCCAGTGCAAGCGACCCAAGGGACTGTGGCTATCTCCTGAGCCCAGGGCTGGGGGGGAATGCGTGAGAAATGTCCCACAGAGGTTTGAGGATGTGAATACTTGGTCCTGGTTTGTTGGGCTATTAGAGGAGGTCTGGGAGGTGTGGCCTTGCTAGAGGAAGTATGTCACTGGGGGCAGACTTCGAGAGTGGAAAAGCTCACACCACTTCCAGTTCTCGCTCGGCTTCATGCCTGCAACTGAGGATGTGTGCTCTCAGGTTTTTGCTCTTAACATCTTGCCTTCTACTTGCAGCCACGCCTCCCTGTCTTGATAGACTTTTATCCCTCTAAAGCATAAGCCAAAACACGCCCCTCCTTCTGTAAGTCGCCTTGGTCATGTGTGCTATCACTGCAACAGGAAAGTCACTTAGACAAGGTGTTTGAGCAAGTTTTCAGAACTTCCTTTTGAGAATCTGGCAGCAGTGAGTCCATGGCGGCTCACAGGGAGCAGTGGTCCCCCAGCAGAACAGAGGCAATGGGAGCAAAAGGCAGAAATAACTTTTAAAAGATATTCAGGTAGAATCTAGGGGCAAACAGACTGAGAGGGGCATAAGGGTGCAAGCGCATGAGGGAGCAGGTGAGTGAGGGAGCAGGTGCGTGAGGGAGCAGGTGAATGAGGGAGCAGGTGCACGAAGGAGCAGGTGCACGAGGGAGCAGGTACACGAGGGAGCAGGTGCAAGAGGGAGCAGGTGCACGAGGGAGCAGGTGCATAAGCAGGTGCACGAGGGTGCAGGTGTGTGAGGGAGCAGGTGCGTGAGGGAGCAGGTGCATGAGGGAGCAGGTGCGTGAAGGTGCAGGTGTGTGAGGGTGCAGGTGGAAAGGATAGTCGATGGGTCTACTGATAGCCCAGCATTTGGTGTGCTGATGTCACCTCATCCCTGCTCTGTGGGGTCGCATCAGGCTACAGTGAGCCCAAAGTATCTGTGCAAACATACCACAAACACTGTGCAGCTGCTTACTCTGACTTGGCTGCCACCATCCCTGGTATTGAAAATGCATTCAAAGTAAAAAGATTCTCCATTTCAGTCATAAACGCTAAACTTTACAAGCAGCAAATGTATTGCTCTTGTAATTAGAGGGGAACTTAATGAGATTACTACAGCCATTGTCCTGAACATGTTAGGAACAATACTCATAACAAAGAATTATCAATGAGCAACAGGTAGTGTCCTATCACATTATAGTACACATTAAGAGACTGTTAAAGGGATGAACCTGGAACTGGCCGTGAGAGCCCAGGCTGGGGGGCTAGGAAGAGAAGGGCTCTGACAGAGAGAGGCTGTGACAGAGAGAGGGAGAGGCTGTGACAGAGAGAGAGGCTGTGACAGAGAGAGAGGGAGGCTGTGACAGAGAGAGGGAGGCTGTGACAGAGAGAGGGAGGCTGTGACAGAGAGAGGGAGGCTGTGACAGAGAGAGGGAGGCTGTGACAGAGAGAAGGAGAGGCTGTGACAGAGAGAGGCTGTGACAGAGAGAGGGAGGCTGTGACAGAGAGAGGGAGAGGCTGTGACAGAGAGGGAGGCTGTGACAGAGAGAGGAAGGCTGTGACAGAGAGGGAGGCTGTGACAGAGAGAGGGAGGCTGTGACAGAGAGAGAGAGGCTGTGACAGAGAGGGAGGCTGTGACAGAGAGAGAGAGGCTGTGACAGAGAGAGGGAGGCTGTGACAGAGAGGGAGGCTGTGACAGAGAGAGAGGCTGTGACAGAGAGAGGGAGGCTGTGACAGAGAGAGAGGCTGTGACAGAGAGAGGGAGGCTGTGACAGAGAGAGAGGGAGGCTGTGACAGAGAGAGAGGCTGTGACAGAGAGAGGGAGGCTGTGACAGAGAGAGGGAGGCTGTGACAGAGAGAGAGAGGCTGTGACAGAGAGGGAGGCTGTGACAGAGAGAGAGAGGCTGTGACAGAGAGAGGGAGGCTGTGACAGAGAGAGAGGGAGGCTGTGACAGAGAGAGGGAGGCTGTGACAGAGAGGGAGGCTGTGACAGAGACTGTGACAGAGAGAGGGAGGCTGTGACAGAGAGGGAGGCTGTGACAGAGAGAGGGAGGCTGTGACAGAGAGGGAGGCTGTGACAGAGAGAGGGAGGCTGTGACAGAGAGAGAGGCTGTGACAGAGAGAGGGAGGCTGTGACAGAGAGAGACTGTGACAGAGAGAGGGAGGCTGTGACAGAGAGGGAGGCTGTGACAGAGAGGGAGGCTGTGACAGAGAGGGAGGCTGTGACAGAGAGGGAGGCTGTGACAGAGAGGGAGGCTGTGACAGAGAGAGGGAGGCTGTGACAGAGAGAGAGGCTGTGACAGAGAGAGGGAGGCTGTGACAGAGAGGGAGGCTGTGACAGAGAGAGACTGTGACAGAGAGAGGGAGGCTGTGACAGAGAGGGAGGCTGTGACAGAGAGGGAGGCTGTGACAGAGAGAGAGGCTGTGACAGAGAGAGAGGGAGGCTGTGACAGAGAGAGGGAGGCTGTGACAGAGAGAGAGGCTGTGACAGAGAGAGGGAGGCTGTGACAGAGAGGGAGGCTGTGACAGAGAGAGAGGGAGGCTGTGACAGAGAGGGAGGCTGTGACAGAGAGGGAGGCTGTGACAGAGAGGGAGGCTGTGACAGAGAGAGAGGGAGGCTGTGACAGAGAGAGGGAGGCTGTGACAGAGAGAGGGAGGCTGTGACAGAGAGGGAGGCTGTGACAGAGAGAGACTGTGACAGAGAGGGAGGCTGTGACGGACAGGGAGGCTGTGACAGACACAGAGGCTACAGTGAACAAGAAGGCTTCTACCTTTCCTTCTTTTGAATGGCATGTTTTATGTTGTGTTGAATTTTTTTAAAACTACAACCTATTCCATTATAATTAAATTTATAAATTGGTAAAATTATTTCCAAAAATAAATATCTGAATTAGAAGAGACAAATTATCTCTGCCCCCAGAGAGGGCAGTGACTTCACAGTGGGAATAACATGGAAGACCATCTGAGGAAGTGAGGCACAGTCACAGGTGGGCCTCACGCAAGGAGCGCACCAAACGATTGCCCTTTCTCCTAAAATACCTCAGTGGGAAAGCTCTTGTGCTATCTTTAAACTTTCTTACTTCATGGGCTCAAACATCAAAAATCAGTATAAGAGAACTATACACAGGTGGATACCTCTCCGTCAAACATAGTGACATGCCCCATGTCATACAGAGGCTCTTTAGAACAAGGCTATGCCATGTTTGGGGACAGGCACAGGGAGCGGATGCTATGGTCTGCCCTTTGAGGGCTGCTACCATGCCAACCGCCCTGAAGGCTCTTCATCCACAGTGCCCAGTGAGTTGTCACTTGCAGGAACAGCAGGCAAATGAGAGAGCAGAGAGAGAATCCTGGTCTCCTTTGGAGAAACAGCTTAATAGAATTCACTGTGCACTTGGGGAACGTGGTTAATAACGTTGTTAATAAATGAAACATGGTGCTGGCTGCCGACTCTACCCTGCTCACTGAAACCATAGATAAATTAACACAGCAATGAACATAAAACACACACGAAAAGTGGAAGCCCCATCCAGGAATGCAAATATTCCTGCCCACTCAGCAAAGGGAGCCGCCACCAGACTCACATTTTCTTTGGAAAACGATCTTGTGAAACACAGGTATCTGGTAACCTTGGACTTGAATAAGCCGTCCTTCCAGAGGTCAGCATCCACACCATCTGCTGTCTGTGCAACCTGCAGCACAGAGATGAGAAGAGGGTCACAGGTAAGATGAGAGGGGCTTCCTCTGTACCTGCTCCAATTAGCACGGGCCCAACTCTCCCAGCATCTCATTAGCACACCGCACTCAGCTCAGGGAAGAACGCTTCCAAAAGGGAAAAGGAAAGCCTGTGAAAAATACAACTTCTAAAAATACTGTCCCTGGGGAAGCCATTGATTAAAGACACCCTGACAGAGACGGCTCTAATGAGGGAAGAATAGCTTTTGTTGTAACGGGCTGTGAAGGGACTGGGCGGTCAGCACATTAGGCTGTTTGCTGCCACTTACGGGGGGGGGGGGGGGGTGCACAGGGCACAGGAGAAAGCCCGATGCAAGGGGCACCCCCTGTGGTGGGGATGGTGTGTCTTCCTGCCCATGGGGGCCAGAGGGAGCTTAGGTCAGCTTAGGTCTGTTAGGCTGCGGCGTAGGTCAGGAAATTGGTTCCACTCGGCATCTTCTTGGTGGAATTCAAGGTCAGAAACTACATCATGATGGGAAAATAAACCAGGCTCAGTCGATTCCATTTCTAGTCCCACTAGGAAGCCTCTTCTCACTTCCCCTTCAGGACACAATCCAGGGTAAATTGAGCCTTTATTTGCCTCACTGGGCATGACATCCAGTGGTGAGTCTGGGCTCACAAAGAGTTGACAAGGGAGTTATAGAGAGCGGCCCGCACCATCACAGAGCAGTGCCAGGAGACCCGGGAAGCAGCTTCACATTGCGGCACAGATCTGGAGGGGACTTCAAGCAACCCCTTTTCTGACTGAGCCATGCCTGACTTTCTAAGGTGTGCACTGGGGATGGTCCTTGGTCTGATTAGCTCCTGGCCATCCCAGTTGATGACAGCCTAATGACAAGGGTTTCCCTTGTGATATTTTGTTTGTGATCTAACAAATAAAGCTTGCCTGAAGATCAGAGTATGGAGCCAACCACTAGTTAGCCATTGAGCCAGGCAGTGGTGGAATACACCTTTAATCCCAGCACTAGGAGGCAGAGGCAGTCGGTTCCCTGTGAGTTCAAGGCCACCCTGGCCTACTCGAGATTGATACAATCTAAAAGAGAAACAGAACTGGGTGGTGGTGGCTCACAGCTTTAATAGAGTCACATGCCTTTAATCCTGGCACTAGGAAGGTGGAGACAGGAAGGGATATGGCTGGGCGGAAAGAAGAGTATAAGGCAGGAGGAGGCAGGAGCTCAGGCACTAAGTCTGAGGCTTTGTAGAGACAGAATGCCCCACTCAGTCTGAGGATTTCGTAGAGGGAAGAACTAGTGGCTGCTGCTCTGCTTCTCTGATCTTCAGCTTTCACCCCCTAACATCTGACTCTGGTATTTATTATCAAGACCAACTAGAAATGGCTACATTCCACCCCCACATGCCCATCCCTGTTTAGCCATGAGAGCATGAGTACTAAAGCAAACTTACTCCAAGTCATTCAGTGTGAGCAGCTTCAGGGCCAGACCACCCAGGAAAATGCCTTCAGAACATCTGACAAGCCACGGGCAGACTTACCTAGAATGCAGGAAAAGGACTCAAGCAGACTGGGCCTGCCTGCCCATTAAAGACTGCCCAGCTATCACTCTGCTGAAGGCTACAGAACGGGGACACGTGGGGGCATGGCAACTCTGAGGGCTCTGCTTTGCTGGCAGAGGTGTGAAACTGCACTGTGGCTCAGTGTCTCCCCCAAAGCCCTGCTGGAGTGTGCTTGAGGAGGAAGAGATGGGGCCTAGGAGTGTGACTAGGCTGCATGGGCTCTGCCTTGGGGAGGGTCCATGCTGTTATGCATGGATACTGCAGCAGTAGGATGCTGGCCTCATCCCCTTCCTCTGCACTTCCACCATGTGACACCTGCTATATTAAGTCACTGCAAAAAAGCCTTCATGGGACAAGGCCCCACCACCTTGGGTTTCCCAGCCCCAAGAACCCAGAGCCAAGTAACTTCCATTGTTTATAAACATCCATTCTGTAGTATTCTGTTATAGAAGCTGAATACAGGCTGAGACAGGGTAACAAATTCACACCAAACCACCTCGTCTTTATTTTTTAGGCCTGAGTCTAAGCAAGATGCTGAATGGTTTGAAAGGTCTCTGCAGCCAGGTATGACCACTTAGGCTTTTGGTAGTCCAGAGAGAGTTGCATACCAAAGATTACCAGGCCAGGGAAACAAGGAAAGGAACTGACATCAGGAAGATTCTGAGCTGCAACCCAGGGAGAGAAAGCATGCTGGTCCATCTGAGGCCTGGACGCCCTTCCCTCAGTTTCCCCATCTGAGGCCTGGACACCCTTCCCTTAGTTTCCCCATCTGAGGCCTGGACACCCTTCCCTCAGTTTCCCCATCTGAGGCCTGGACACCCTTCCCTCAGTTTCTTTTCACCATGCATTATTTATTCCCCTTAAATCATCAGTATAAGTAATTCCTATACCAGAGCAATGCACACAACAAAGCTATGGGAGGTAAATCATTGTCTAGTTTACAGATAAGGAAACTGAGGCACAGCGAGTATTGGTTACATAGATAAAGTCCACAGAATGACATATGCCTATGGGCTTATGCCCAGGGTATGTTATATAAAGGAAAATAGCTTACCAAGAAGCACATGAGAGAATATATACAAAGGGTTCTCAGAAGGCAACAGAGCTGGCAAAGAAAGCCTCTGGCAGGCCGTACACAGCTGCCAGCAATGGCACAGAACCATGCAAAAGTTGAGCAACCACTGGGCTTTGCTAGTGATCTAAAAGGAGAGCTCACTGGGGCTTTGTCAAACTGATAATGACATTTAAAGCAGGGGCTGGTGCACTCAGTGCAAGGAAGCCCTGAGAACAGGCATAGCTATCACTGCCAGGTGACAAGAGGGACAACCAGGGCCTGTGAGAGAGATGCCTTGGCGGGTAAAGACACTTCCTGTTAAACCCGATAGAGTTTGATCTCTGAGACCTACATGGTGTATGGAGAAAATAGACTCCCACAAGTTTCCTCTGACCTCCACACACGAAAGAAAGGAAGGAAGGAAGGAAGGAAGGAAGGAAGGAAGGAAGGAAGGAAATGAAGGAAGGGGAGGAGGAAGAAAGCGGAGGAGGAAGGAAGGGAAAGGAAGAGCCAGAGCTAGATGAATTTGGAAGCCTGTACCAAAACCATGAGAAAACACACACACATACACACACACACACACACACACACACACACACACCTTGAGCTAGGAGCTCTGCTTCCATGTAGACTCTGGGAACATGGTTGGCTGTTCATTGTCCCTTCACTGAGGATGTCTGGATTCTGAGGCCACACTGCTGAGGGCAAAGTGCTGAAGGAAGATGCTGGTCACATTCTTCATGGGGCAAGACACATGGTAAAACATATACGAACATGGGTTAAGTTTTTAAAAGGCTGGCAGACAGCAACTTGGAGGAGACAGGGACGTGAGCTCTAAGGCAGCAGCTCAGCCTGGCTTCTGGGTGGGAAGAAAGTGACCTGGAGAACAGCAAAGAGCGGGGGAACCCAGGGAAGACAGGGGCGGGGAGGGATGATGACACAGGACGTACAAACCTCGTCCTGGAATGGGGAGAGGGGACTACCCACCTGTGCCTTCACTAGGGCTCTACCCATAAAGATGAAGAAGACAAAGATGTCTCTTAGGATGACAGTACAACCTAGGAATGATGGCCCTGGGGCTCTGGTTTTTAAATTTTAACAGCCTTGTACAGAAAAGGATCTAGAAACAAAAATGCAGAGGATTTTTTGGCTCTTAGAGTTGGGACTGGGAATATACAGAGATACATGGGACTGAGGAGTGGCTACCTGGAATGGATCAGTCAGGAGATGTCAACAGGGTAACTATGAGAACTGGAGTTTGCAATACCAACCCATGTAAAAGTCACACGGGGGGCTGGAGAGATGGATTAGCGGGTAAGAGCACTGACTGCTCTTCCAGAGGTCCTGAGTTCAATTTCCAGCAACCACATGGTGACTCACAACCATCTATAATCAGATCTGATGCCCTCTTCTGGCCTGCAGGCAGGACACTGTACACATAAAAATATAAATATATCTTTTGAAAACAAAGTCACACGGATGTGGAATCCAGCTCAGTGCTCGGGTGATGGAGATGGGGGAATCCCCCCAGCAAGCTGAGTAGACACAGGCTGACATAGCAAGTTCCAGGTTCAGTGAGAGACACTGAACAATACATAAGGTGGAAAGCAATCAAGGATAGAAGAGTGTACTTGGGCACTGAATGTACTCACATGTATACACATGTACACTCACCCACAATGCTCCCACACACACAAACATGCACACACACATGCATACCACACATAAATACATCGACTAAATACATAATGGCAGTAGTGTTTTTAACCGTTCCTCTGCTTTGCTAGCACGCGTCACATTTCCAAGGGAGGGGGTCAATGAGCTCTTACATCTTTTATAATAGGAAAAATAACAATTGTAAACTTTACTTGATGAGGTGAGGAGTTAAAAATCTGCTGAACTAAAACTTGAGAAAATCCTGTGAACAAACTGGTGCCCAGCTAAACATCCAAAGCACAGACAGCCCTAGCCTGAGGAGAAGCAGAGTCCAGGGGTGCCCAGTTCACGCCCGCTGTTTCAGGAGGACCCGCCCACAGCTCAAAGCTGAGTTTGGCAGACACAGCAGTGGGGTGAGGGGGGAGAGGGCAGGAAACCCTGCAGACATTCTGGGGGCAACTTCTGGCTGACTCTGTCAAGTTCAAAGTCCTTCAGACATGGCAGCTTGCGCAGGTCAGAATGCAGAAGCCTCATATTCTCAATTAGACAAGACGGGGCCTCCAGGAGGCAAAACCAGATCCTGCAGGAGGTGCACCGGGTGACCTTAAGGGCTGGGCTGCCCCGTCTGGAGTCATGAACTCTTTGGCTGCTTTTGTCTCCCTTCATAATTTTGGTTTCTGAGTGGCAAGCTTAAGTCAGCCACAGACTTTTCTGCTGGAATGTCTAATGTTTCTC